ACTAATTGTGATACTGCAGATAGCAGTAACCGTAAATCTGTAATTTGGGTGATTGTAAGTGCGAATGTGAAATAAAATTCGCTACATCGAATACATCGAGAATTTATTTGTCGCGTCATACCCCCGATACGCGACAATATGATGACGTTCGTCCGATAAAGGTTAAGTATAATTTTTGTAAGATTGGATGTTTAGGTTAAAACACCAGACGGCTGGCCGGAAGGCGAGGAGACAGAGCCGCAGCTGACTCTTCGCATTCCTTGGCAGTCGATCGAATTGTCTGTTTATGCATCAGTAGAAAGATCCAGTCAAGTTTCACTTCGCGCAACAAGGCATGTCCGGCAAGTTGCTGACCTCAGGGATTTCGCGCGCGCAGCTTTCGTGACTTGGGGGAAAAAAGTTGAATCTTGGAATTGGGAAAAAACAGGCCGTTTCAGGCACTCTGTTCCTAGCAGTTGCCAGAAACAGAGGAGTAAAGCAAAGTGTGCCTGTGGAAAACCTTGGGATGGCGCCAGTGTTTTTCATGTGCATCATGTTTAGCGCAAGTGAGTACTTGTCCGTGGTCGGGTCACTGATGGCTTATTAGAACTTCTGGTTTAAATTATTTTGGTTGGTTAATGTGTTTTTTTAATATAGAGTTGTACGAGTGGTTTATTTGATTATATATTCCCTTTTTGTTGTTGTTTGGAGAACTCGAGTTTTTGTGACCCTCCTAGTGAAGCATGTTTTCCACAGCATAGGTTAAGTGATATCCACGGACGTCCGATAGGGGGTGAGTACAGTCAATGCCCCCTATCCGGGTACAACAAATAATATAGCCAGCATAATAAAATATCTGAAGTAATATAATGAACCTTAAAAATGTAAATATTAACAAGTTCAATATTGATCACAATAATATGGCCAGCATAATAAAATATCTCAGCAATATAATGAACCTTGAAAATCTTAAATATGTAAATGTTCACAAGTTCAATGTTGAACATAATAATATGGCCAACAGAATAATATAACTGAAGGAATATAATGAACCTTAAAAATGTAAATATTAACAAGTTCAATATTGATCACAATAATATGGCCAGCATAATAAAATATCTGAAGTAATATAATGAACCTTAAAAATCTGATGTTTATATATTTATACACTGATATATTGGGTTTCTTGACTTTATCCATCGTCCTGCTTTTTAAGATAACAAATAAAAACACCACGTTTCAGAAACTGGATCTGTTTCCGTCCTCAGGTGAAGGAAAAGGGAAACACCTATTCTGTTGGGTCCGTTAGAGAGAGCTAGCCTCAATCACTGGAGAGACCAATGTCACAAAACATGAAGATTATAAATACCTGAGACCAGGCTAAGTCCATGAGAGCTAATAAGAAAAATATTCATAACAAATTGTTGCAAACACATACAAGCGTGGAACCAGGATAGATAGATCTGTAGAAATTTATGCCACGAAACCAAACTCATAACCAGGTCCATGACCCCACGGCATGGAATAGAAAGAAGAACTAGTAACAAAAATCTAATAGCCTAACTAGCGTCAACAATGGAGTAAATCACGTCTATCTAATTTAGAACTTAATAGAAATGAATAAAAGCATATATCTCGTCATACAGTTCTATGTGAATTGGTGACTTCATTGCTGATAATGGGGATCCAAATGGGAGAAAAGTCCAAACTGGGTTGGCTAATTGGGTTGGCCGAGCATGCCATATGGGCCGCTTCCTTGTATTTCCTCTACCTGATGTGGCTTTCAATATCCAAAATCTTAGCTTCATCCCAGCCTACCCTATGTCCCTCTTCATAGGCATGTTGGGCTAATTTAGATTTTTCTAGAAGACCTTCTTTTAGGTTATGCCTATGTTCCTGGAGCCGCACGGCCAGAGGTCTGCCTGTTTCGCCAAAGTAGCTTCTTCATGTCTTCATGTTTTGTGACATTGGTCTGTCCAGTGATTGAGGCTAGCGCTCTATAACGGACCCAACAGAATAGGTGTTTCCCTTTTCCTTCACCTGAGGACGGAAACAGATCCAGTTTCCGAAACGTCGTGTTTTTATTTGTTATCTTAAAAACCAGGACGATGGATAAAGTCCAGAAACCCAATATATCAGTGTGTTATACACCATCATTAGAATCCTATAGTAACTATTTATATATTTATGTTCGTAAGATCAATGCTAAACACAATAATATGGCCAAAATAATGCAATGACTGAAGGGATATACCCATAATAACAAATTAGATGAATAAAATATGTAGACACTAATAAGTAAAAGTTCCTACCTAGGAAGTAGTTAATAAATTTAATTACAAAATATACACTGAATCCTGACATTGATTCTGCTCCTCGGTGTTTCACACTGAATCAGGTAACCTGAAGATTGCAAGTCAAGTATAAAGTAATGCCACTTCACTCTTACCCACATATAAAAATGAACCATTTGAGTCAGAAAAGAATTTCCCACACAATTCTTGATTGAAATCTAATTATTTTCAGATAGAGGGCAGAATGAACTCTGACCATCTTCTGAGAATGATGTTCTAATATACTGGGAAGAAGGAAACAGGTCTCCGAAGCAAGAAAGAGATGGAGCTCAAGATCAGAATAGGTTTCTTGTATGTAATCCGACTGTAGGTGACAATGTTATCAACAAATTACTCAAAACCAGAGGTTTGAGACAAGAGCATGTGAAGGCATGTTAGTCGTAGTTGCTTGTCACCAGGGTTACTTTCACGAACTTATGAAACAACTATTGATGCTCATGTGAGCAATTGGAATATATTATTCCAGTAATTCAATAACTGCTCTCTGCTAATTTCCAGGGCTGGTGTGGGCAGGATATTACAAGGCAAAGATGAAGAGGCATTACTTTCCTAATGACTTACTGATGTATCAGTATCTTAATCTTCTTCCTCTTTGTGGCCCTCTGCCTGGGTGATTCAGTCATCAACCTGTTTGTTCGCTTACACCACCAAGGAATGTAAATTCTTGTGAGACATCTCACAATACCATCTATTTTTCATTGGCAGTGAAGTGAACAACCAGTACACCTAATCCACTCCAAGTCAATGGTGTTCTTAATGGCAGCTGTGATATGCTGCAACATGAATTGCCTGCCACCATAGATTATATTAGAGTTACAGCATAACAACAGTCTCCACACCAATGTCTCAGAAATATATGAAGACACTAGCTGATAGCAGAACTTCAGATGTCACGCATGTCTTGCGTGCATCACAGCTGACACCACAAAGCACCTGTCTGGCAATGGAACCACTGACATAGGCTACTGAGAACACTTCCATGTCACCAGCATGTACTGCAGCAACCATGTCCTTCTGTACTTGTTGAGTAACATGGAAACTCAGGAACTTCATCAGGGGTTTCCTTGCCACGACTTGTGGACAGATTTGGTGAAGAAGCATCAGGTGCCCTGAACAATGACTGTAGGTTACACACAACAGTAGCATCATCATCCTCACAACTAGTTCCACACAGATCTCTGATAGAAAGTGCACTGATGTTAGTCTTCAGGGCATCTACAAACTGTCCCACAGTTGGATTATTGTTCAAACCATACTACGAACGAATAGCTTCAAATGTGTTCACAAGGGGATCATCAAATAGCTGTTGCCAGGTATTCACCACAGCACCCCACTGAAAGAACATTAAAAAGGAAATTAGTGCGCTTCCTTACATGATGGACTTCTTCAGATTGAAAATAACAAACTTTACTTGAAAAGGAATGCCATTATAAAGATTTTGTATATTTCATAGCAGTCGTCACCACCTTATTCTCTTATAAATCATATTACTGATAGTGTGATCTGCTTTTCAAACATTTTTAATCACTCTAAAAACATTTGACATATCCTACATAACTTGTGTATTGATAAGTTTGTATTGTAGCATCCTGTTGCACTCTTCCATTTTATTATAAATCTTATTTTACAGTCTTATGTGAAACGATTTATTAACTTTAGGTTTAAAATTTAAAACTTAAAAAGTTGCACATACGACAGTAAAATTGTATATTGATGTACAGTTTCATAAGTAATGAATGATGACAATGACATTTGTTTGATCACAATTGGGTTCTTGGGACAATTACTTCAAAAATTAGCTCTCATTATTCTCGCTAGCCACTTCTCTCATAACCAGTGATTGAGGTGGAATGAAAATAGAACCGGGATGTCATCCCGCCGCATCCCGCCCCACCTCAAGCCCTGGGTATTGTACATTGCATTTACTGCCAAAGAAGTAACGGGATGCTTTTAAGCCATTTAGAAAAGAACCGGTATGCCATCCCGCTGCATCCCACCCCACCTCAAGCCCTGCTTGTAACAGAACATAATTCATAGTATAGAGTGCAGTGGTCCTTACCTGTAGCCAATACAGTGTTGTGGCTTGCTGCACTGATTGATATGCCTGAGTTCCCCACCAGAAGCATTTATATTTACAGGGCCTAGGAGAAACGAGGTTTCTTTCACTGAAAAAGTTGGTGGCTGCTGTTGGTAATGGTTGCACTGCAAACATTTTAAAGGAAGTGGAAGAACCATGTGCATGGATAGGATGCCTTGCTTGCTGGATGACAAGCACCCAGCAGCAGCACGTTTTCGTTTTCATGTCTATACTGCAAGAAACAATACAAAAATTATAACACCATCACGGTACTCTTAGAACTCCTTCACATTCAACAGTCAGTCTTTAGGATAAACCGATAGTTGCAGAATATATCATAGCACAAATATCGTTTAGATGACGGTTCACGATAACCTCAAAAATTTTAGGCTTGAAAGAATTCTATATGTTTCTAATTTAATTTGTGGTAGTAAGCATAATATTCATATACACACATAATATGTTTCATATGGAGCTGTAATTTCGTTTGCAAATGTCTACTTTCGTTTCGCAACCACATCAAATCAAAATGCATACTTACCAATTTGCCTATATTGATCAACCATGACCACATATAATTGCGGGAATTCAATTTGGTTTGTTTAGGCTCTCTGATTGGTCGAGAACTGCGTGCAGTATCTGCCTTCGCCCTTAGAGGCAGTAGTTACCGTGTTTCCTTTTCTCCTCTCTCAGTTGCAACCGTTGCAACTCCCTGCTTAGTATCAAACATTTGGGTACGTTTAGCCACTTACTCATTGTTGCGGTAGGTTTCGCATGATGCACGCCGTGGATCTTCTGCACTCTTTGTGAACACACTGAACCCACTGAAGGGTCTGTCATGATATGATGTTTATGATGGTTATGATAGTAGATGGTTGTATGTGTATGGGTGTGAATGTTTTTACATGTATTTCGCACTGAACTTAGTAATGTTCTTCATTTTGATATAATTTAATTAATGCTTGTAAAATCTTGTTTCGTTATTTATATAATAAGCATCGCGTTTTAGATTATTCTTACATAAGCTTTGGGAATTAAAGAGGTTATGTACGCAATATGGTTATAGTCGGTGGCACAAGTTTTGTTCAAAGTTACGGATTGGATATTCCGTATAGTCTGCATGTTCCGGTTCTACTGAGCTAATATCAGGTGGATAATAAAAGCATAAACTGTAATGACAATAGGATTAGTAATTAGCCGTTATGTAGATTTTTAGTGTCAGATCGTCATTAAGTAACCAGTACCGGCGGAGTGTACGTAATGCCATAATTTGGGAATAGCACTAACAAACCAAAATTGCATGTGTAGAGAAATTAAGATCGGTTTGAAATAAAAAACTTTTTGCTGTGTGCCTGTTCTCCAAATACGAGGGTTGGAACTTTAATAGTGGCAACTATTTATTTACAACTAATACAAAATAGATGCATTTTTCGAAGTTTTACTGTCCTTCACTGTAGTCACCAGCATTGTGTACAACCTGTTGCCAGCAATGTGGAAGCCATAGGATACCTTTAGCAGCACCTGTTATGCTGATAGTTCAAATGGAGCGGTCTACTGCCTGAAGAATCTCTGGAACAGTTCCAAAGCGAATGCCACGAAGTGGTTCCTTCATCTTAGGAATCAAGTCAAAGTCACAAGGGCTGAAGTCCAGGGAATATGGTGAATGGTATAGCATTTGCGAGCCCCATTGGTTGAACAAATCAGCCACAGCTTGCGCTGCATGCGGCCAAGCATTGTCCTGCAAAATGATGGTTGGGTTCTGCAGAAAATGTCGCCACTTCTTTCTCAGAGCTAGTCACAGGTTGTGTTCCAAAAATGAACAGTAATACTCGGCATTGATGGTCTGCTGTCGGGGAATGGTATTTGTGGCTCGTACAATTTGGCCCATGTCTCATCCAGCGTAATGATACGGCAGAAGAAAGCCTCTCCTTCACACACACAGCGCTCCAAGTGGTTGAGCAGCATCGTATTATAGCCATTTCTGCATTTCCGTCAACTCCTGTGGAACCCATCGTGATGCAATTTTTCTCATGCCCAGGCATTCTTTCAGAATGTGAAGCACAGTCATATGCGCTAATCCTGTCTCTTGGGCCAGCTCACGAATCGTATGACGTTGATCACTCTCTAGTAATGTGGAAAGAGCATACACTTCTTCTTCACTGACACTAGGATGACCTGGACGACCTGGACGACACATGTCTGCCACATTTTGGCGTCCCTCATTGAAGGCTTTTACTCACCTTGCCACTTTTCTGTAAGGCAATGCAGATTCCCTGCAAGCCTCTTGAAGACCTTGATGACACTGTCATGCTGTACAGCCTCTGGCGCGTTTAATCTTTATCCAACTCCATTGTTCCTGTTTTGAAAGCATCATGACAACACTACATTAGACCGCCAGCTAACACAAGGCTTTGTTCTTCTTGTCACTGCACATGCACGTGATGTGGGAAGGGAGAGTCCATTTGCTCTGAGGTAAGGTAGGTATGTAACTAATGTGTGGTATAAGCAACATTGTTTGGTTCCATTGCATGGTGTCTCTACAGCAGTGTTGAATTATTAAAGTTCCAACCCTCATATTGTTTTCATTTTATACAGTGGAAAAAGTGTCCAGCGTAATTTTGTTCTTACTGACCTTTCTTTTTAATTTCTTACATTTACATTTACTTTCACTTCTTGGATCCAATCATCTCCCTGTAGGGCTGGATATAAAACATGTCACATATTATAAATTCATGATGACTACACATCATTCATCCTTTGTCCAATAAATTGTATAATTAGGCCTCTCACAGATAGCTCAGGTTGTCAGGACAACACACATGTGTTGTGAAAAAACCACTGTCAAATTCACGCCTTGCCATTCCACACACACTGGCAAGCCATATAATTAAAACAGTTACATTATAAAATATTAAAATTGATAACAAAAACAGACATCATACTTACTACTACACTTACAACAAATAATTCATACACAGACCATTTATTAACTCTTAACTTTTGAGCCCCTTGCATGCTTAACAAATTCATCAATAGAGTAAAATACGCCAGTTTCTGCTCTCTTCTTGGTGTCTTGCAATTCCTGACTGAGAAATCATGACATATATTTCTTTAAAGCATAATACTGATTGATGAACATCTTCATATTTTGTAACTTGTTTTCAGTTCCTGTAAGATTTTATTGATGTCCACATTAAGAGTAAATATGGTATTGCAATGTGGATATAAACTCGGGTAATGCTTGCTACCATTCAGTCCAGAACCCTTTGTCTTCTCATCTGTTGTCAAAATACATAAAAATTAGATATACAAAACTATAATTTTGCCTTTGGTTCTGTATGGGTGTGAAACTTGGTCTCTGACATTAAGGGAGGAACATAGACTGAGGGTGTTTGAGAACAGGGTGTTGAGGAGAATATTTGGACCGAAGAGAGATGAAGTGACAGGAGGTTGGAGAAAACTGCATAATGAGGAGCTTCATAACTTGTACTCTTCTCCAAGTATAAGTAGAATGATCAAGTCAAGGAGGATGAGGTGGGCAGGTCATGTAGCATGAATGTGGGAGATGAGGAATGCGTATAGGATATTGGTGGGAAAGCCAGAAGGAAAGAAGCCACAGGGAAGACCAAGGCGTAAGCGGGTGGACAATATTAGAATGGATCTTAGAGAGATAGAACGGGATGGTATGGAATGGTATGGATTAGATAGATTGGCTCAGGATAGGGACCAGTGGAGGGCTCTTGTGAACACGGTAATGAACTTTCAGATTCCGTAAAATGCTGGGAAATTCTTGAGTAGCTGCAGAATTGGTGGCTCCTCCAGAAGGGCTCAGCTCCATGAGTAAGTAAATGTGGATATAATCTGCAAAGACTGATGTGAATGTTGAGTGCACTTATTATACATGTTCTGTTGTAGTTTGTTTCTCTCAGAGTTTCTAGCACAGTAGGTCATAACATATTGTAACGTGTTTCATTACTGAATACGCCATAGAGATTGTTAATTGGTTTATTTAACAACCTACAGATCTTGGCTACCATTAATTATAACAATGTTACGGGTTTCCACACTTTACAAACCCTACAACCAAATCTCTTCACACTATCACGATTCACTCGTTACAACTGAAATCGGTGACTACTACAATTCAACTCGCTTTGTGGGCTGCTACACTTTAACTCGTTCACTTCTGATCACACACTGACTTCCAACTGCTGACTAACACGGAACTTGAGAACTGTGTCTCGTAACTAACTCGTAGGCTTGCTCAGAACTAACTGTGAATAGTCTTCACTGCTCCGTATCTAGCCTCGTTCCGGACAACACAGAAAACAGCCACGTAATAGGCAACACTGTTGTCTGGCGCCGTGTTGCTAGCAACGCTGTTGGGAGTTGTTTACTGCTGCCTAGCAACCGCGGTATCCCTCGGTGACATCACCACTGGGCGGGTAGACGAAGGAGTGTTGACTCACCTGTTACCTTAGTAACGACAGCGATCCAATAGCGTTACGTAACCACTGGTGGGGGGAGGGGTGTCCCTGCATAGCGCAACACATCACACTATTGATGTAAAGGAGTGTACCAGTGAACATTCTTTCCATATTATCCAAGACAGTGCAATGCCATACACTGTAGACCAGCGTTGGCCAACCTAATACATCTCAAGGGCCAAATTTAGTTTATAGAACACCATCAGGGGCCAGATACAGTGTTTCTTTCAGGAGAGTGGTCGGGGAGTATTGCCCCCCAAACTGAATCAGTCACAACCCGTGTAAAAACAAGTGCATTTAAACATATGTATTTAAATTTTACGTTGCACCAATAATATTAAGCCGATATTGAAAATTTCACAAATCGATTTTATTGCCTTCTATCACTTCTACCCCCAGAGCATTTTTTCTTAAAGAAACACTGGCCAGATCATGCCTTATGTTTAGTTTTATATATGCCGGGGAAAAATGCAATTATAATTTAAGAAAGAAAAATAAATGCCTTGAAATTTGCAATTACTTACCATAAAACAGCACAAATTCCTCTTTCAGGAGGGCTGAGCACAAAAGACTTTCAATGATAGTCCTTATGGTCTAATGATTATACCTAAATCCTCATATACACACTGTTTTAATGAGAGCACTGTGGTTTCATAAAACTGGAAACCAATGATATAAAATCCACTTCTAATTGTGAGGTTGCCACTCGAAGAATATGTGATAACACGACATCTGAAAGTCTGTTCCTGTTCTTAGACTTTACATGCTTCGGTGATGAAAACGCTATCTCGAATATGTAAGTACTTGCAAAAACAGCAAAGTTTGAGAGCCCAATTTCATAACAGTGGGTAACGTTCTGGTGAAAGCAATTTCCAAAAGTCAATTCCAG